CTCTCTCTCTCTCTCTCTCTCTCTCTCTCTCTCTCTCTCTCTCTCTCGCGAAGTGTATGTTGTCATAGCGTCGTGAACTGTAACCACGGAAAAAATTTAAAAACGGCGAAGAAAATGTTAAGGACTTGTTAAGGACTTCCATTTAAACCGAATCATGGTTATTTAGAAGCTGGCCAGAACTTCATTTTGAACGAAATTAAAAGCATTTTTCACTTTACATCGATTCACTTCTTATAGACTTAGGGAAGGGAATATAAACTCAAATGACTCGATTTTGTTCGAATATTGTGAAAATCGAGATGATGAGTAGACTCAGTATGAAAAATTAACTTGTTTCTGTTCAAAAATTGCAAATTTGGTGCATTTCCATTGAAATTTGCATTAAACTAATAAAAATCTCCCCGAAATTGAGGGTGTAAAATATTGAATTGCCAATGGCACTGCAAATTTGACCCGAAATTAATCATTTTCGGCCATGTTTAAGCTAAAAGTTTCAAATAAAATATTATTTTGCTTTGAGCCACACCATAACAACCATAAGTATTAAGTAAATCGGCTCAGTCAGACGCTTTTCTCACAATACATAGGTTATTTCATGATTCCATGCTAATCTCAATACCACAGATTTCATGGCTCATGTGACATGTGGAATAAAAAGTATATGGGCACTTTTTCTTCAGTGTCTATTTTGCTTGGGTTACAGCACTCGGTACCTTTTTAGACACGTCACCCTGTTTCCACGTTAATAGCAATTGTGAGCGATTTCATGGACATAAGGTCATGATTTTTTTCCATACTTTATAGATATGGGTTAGTTTCAAACCCTTCAGTCAAATAAATGGGCCTCAATATCCTTCTAAAAAGTTACCAATCAATAAACTCTAAGAAATTAGAACTGTCAATTCAGTAAATAGTTTTCGCAATCGTTATGAAAAGTACCTGACCGATAAATAAATTAACGAAGTACAAAGCAATACATAAATTATTATATAAAGGGTGTCCCAATAGCAACGCAAAAAAGTATTTATAAAAAAAACAATGAAAATAGTTTCCAATTTTCCAAATTTTTATTGTATGTTGTAGTTTGGTCTTTACCATTTATGTATGAAAAAGAATATCGTGCAAATGTCCACCACGGCTCTTTTCACAGACCTTCAGCCGCTTGCCCAAATTTTCAATTACAGATTCGAGTAATGGCACATTTACGGTGGCTATGACACGTCTGATTTCAATTTTCAGCTTGGCAATGGTGCTTGGTTTGTTGGCATAGACTTTATCCTTGACGTAGCCCCAAAGAAAATAGTCCAATGGCGTTAAATCGCACGAACGAGGCGGCCATTCCACTTCGGCCTTTTGAGAAATGATGCGATTTGGAAAACGTTCTTCGATTACCGCTAATGTTTCAGGTGTTGTGTGTGGTCTGGCGCCGTCTTGTTGAAACCACATGTCGGATAAGTCCATGCCTTCAATTTCCGACCAAAAAAAATACTGCAACATCTCACGATATCGCTCGCCATTGATGGAAACGGCTCGACCATCATCATTTTCGAAGAAATACGGCCCGATGATGCCGCCGGCCCATAAACTGCACCAAACAGTGCAACGAGCTGGATGAGCTGACACTTCTTCAGTTTCTCTTGGATTTTCGCTTCCCCAGAATCGAAAATTTTGGCGATTCACATACCCATTCAAGTGAAAATGAGCCTCATCCGAAAAGATCACTTTCTTCAAAAAATCGGCATCCGCGGCCTCTTTTCCTTTGACCCATTCGACGAAATCTCTTCGTTTTTCGTGGTCCATCGGTTCAAGTTCTTGAGTGAGGACAATCTTATAAGCGTGTAGACCCAAGTCTTTGGTGAGAATACGCCATGTGGTCATCCTAGAGAGGCCAACTTGTTGAGAACGTCGACGAACCGAGGTTCTTGGCTCGTCCTCCACACTTTCACTCACAGCAGCAATATTTTCGTGCGAGCGGGCCGTTCGCATACGGGTTGATGGTTGATCGTCTAACACAGAGCCAGTACGCTCAAATTTCTGCACCAGGCGACTGATGGTGGACACATTTGGTCGATTATTTCGGCCGAAAATTCACGAATTGCACGAAACGTATTTTGCAAAATAGACCCATTTTCGTAATGGGATTGAACGACTTGAACGCGTTGATCTTTACTTAATCTTGACATGGTTATAAATGGTATAGATGGACGCTTCAAACTGACATTCCAGTTTGACAGATCGGGGCATCCATCATGAAATCCCTATTGAAAAACTTTTTGCGTCCCTATTGGGACACCCTTTATTTAATTTGGTTAATGTGATGTTAAAAATATATCAAAGAATCATATATATTTTATTTACTTATGGTTAAAAAAATATGTAATCGAAAGAATTATTTGGGAAATGAAATTTCATTAAAAAAATGTGTGAAAATTCATTAAAAACATTGAAAATATATATTAGTATTAAGACAAATGTAATTGGCCGTCGGGCAGCAGGTTGACGAATCATTGCACGCGAACACTTATGTCCGGAGATCCGTCAGCCGAATAAGATAAACAATAAATAATGAATAACAATCGTGATTTAATGTTTAAAAATGCGCTCACAACGTCCATTGGAGTGGAATCAGGGCGAGCAGACCCAAAGTGCGCCGAATGCTGTAATCCCAGTAAAACAGCCGCTGAGGAAGAAGTGCACATACAATTTTTGTAATAATTAGGAGTCCTCCTGAGCCAAGACATCTATGGTAGAGAGATTAGCATGGAATTATGAAACACCCTGTATATATTTGAAGTTTTGTGACTCCATCATCTCAAAAATGTTGGTAATGCTACGGCACTGGTATTTATATCGATATCGATATCAATACATATTTTTGGACGTTTTTGGCCCATTTTTGATGCATTTTTGGCTCAAAACCAAAAGGACAGTTACACATTCTTAGAGAAATATACTTGAAATTTAAAAATAGTATAATTAATTCAAGAAAATGTAATTTTTTTTCACTTCCGGCCAATTTATGTTGTTCGGGATAAATTTAATCCGAGGGGTAAGATGGATTTTCGTCAGAAGACCAACACACTCAATATTATAGCGACATCTCTTATTAAAATAGCTTGTAGTAAATGCATTTATAGCATTTCCCTGTAGTTGCGATGTTGCCTATTAAGTTCCCTTGTAGTACTGACACATTCATTTTTGACACTTGTTAACTACATACCACAGAGGAATTTAATAGGTAACATCGCAACTACAGTGAAATGCTATGAATGCGTTTACTACAAGCTATTTTAATAATAGATGTCGCTATAATATTGAGTGTGAAATTTTTTGGTAAAATTTATACCCATCACATAGGAAATTGATGCTAAACTCCATTCCGAATATTAATAATGTTAAAAGAATTTCAAATATTTTTTCACACCAAGATATTTGAAAAAAAAAATTACCCCGAGGGGTAAGAATCCGAGAGGTAACAAAAAATGTATGACCCAACAATACAATATTTGCACCGAAACTTCAATTTTTTGATTAAATTCTCCGCTTTCTCGTTATAAATTTTGATAATAATGACATTTCGAACCAGTTTTCGATTGTATTTAAAGCACTTGACTTTATTAAAAGATCTGCCCTCCACCAATATTTTCATGTTTTCTTTGATATGTTGAACAGGAACCGAACTATACATATAGCGGGTACATAACGCTAATTTTTTACAAAAAAAAAGTAGAATGATTTCGAAACACACTTTCCAGTAACAAACGATTGTCTTTGGATCGTTACTACTTACAAACTTGTTTTTTAACAGTTGTTATACGTGTGACCCTGTAAAACTTCAATGAATATCGCTTGATTATATAGTCGGGCTATGAGGTGGCATTGACTGATTCTTAATTCTCCCATCCTCGGAAATTCTCCCATCATCATTCCGATCAATGTGCAGGTTACAGTGTAGTGACAGCACGTTCATAAGAAAAATTTCAGGTAAAAGAAAATTACATTACGGCACTTCAGAATGAACACAAAGCCGGTCGGAGAGTATTATTTTCAGTGGAACGACGCTTTCTTTTCTATCGTTTTCGTTCCGTCCATT